TAATAAAATGGCATAAAATTGACAAACACCATTTTCTCCCGTGATTTGTACCACCTTGATTTGGATCGATCAGCTTTTCACAATTTTTCCATGAGAGGCGGTACATTTCTCTTGCCTATAGGCGTTGGTTCAACTCGCTCCGTCTGACGGTCACCTAAAAATAAATGTAATCCCAAAATCCGTCAAAAACCACAATTTTTCCAATAAAAGTGCCCTCCCCGGTGCACGTGGCGCGTGCTATCCTCTGCAACGCACACCATTCGATAGCCCGTTCGATTCTCTACACGATGCTGTTTTCCCCGTGCCGATCAGACCCCTGGTCGCCAAGATATGGCACCGGGATCGGACCCGTGTCGGGCAAATTTAGCCGTTTTCGCCCGATTTTGCACGCCGATTTATACATGTAAAGTCTATGACGCGAATTTGCACTTTTTGAGCACGCGCCACGCACTCCCTATCAATTCGATCGAGCTGAGACCCCTCAAAGGCACGTCGCGCATCCTTGATCTATAAGTTGTGCAAATTTCACCGCGTTAGTTGCAACGGTCTGGCCTGTAGTCCACGCAAAGCACCACCAAGTCGGGACCTCGGTAACGGACAGACGCACCCTCCTCAAATAGTAATATAGATACGTCCATCCCTAAAATATGAATGACCGACTTAACTTCATCTCTGAAAAAAGTTTCATGTCTTTCCAACAGCCAGTTCACATGTCACTTGACAGTTGATGCACCCACATCCTTTTGTTTCACACCCTGTCAAGATTCTGACATGAAATCCTGGTTTATCAGTTGGCATACAAATTGGCATTACACCATTTTACAAATATACTTCCGTTATTTATTTCCTTTTTTCTCATCCTATGATTTTTTTCTTCATCAGCACACCCAACCAAAATCCAATTTTAGAACACTGACTAGCATGGATTCTTCGAGTTCGACGTCGCCTTTTGAACAGGGATCAGCAACGTTTACCACGACTGGTTGTTTGTTAATTGGGGCTTTAGGGCGCGCCGACTGAAGTAGCTGATTTGCGAGAAGCAGAATCACTCGTCATCAAGTGGCTACAGCAGCGCAATTTCCCTCAAGAGTACGCTGCTCTGACGGAAGGGAGAGACATTTCAAGAAGCAGCAAGCTGAGCAAACTGTGTCCACAGATGAACGAAGGCGTCATCCGCGTGAGAGGTCGACTCCAGAACGCTGACATCTCTACAGAGATGAAACACCTGATCGTGCTCCCCAAGGAAGGACACTTCACGGAGTTGGTGATACAGGAAGTTCATGAAAAAAAAAATCAGGACACTCAGGACGACAACTGGTCCAGGCAGAGCTGCGGAAGCGATTTTGGATTTTGGAAGGAAGTTCTTGCATCCGAAGAATCATTGACCGGTGCATTGTTTGTCGGAGATTCCGCGGCCCAGAGAGCCAGAAGATGGCCATTGGCCAACCTTCCAGCGGAACGTGTCGCGTACGAGCCAGCGTTTACAAATACCGGAATGGACTACTTCGGACCATTCTACGTGAAGCAGAACCGAAGTCACGTGAAACGCTATGGAGTGATTTTCACTTGCCTTTCAATGAGAGCAGTCCACATCGAGGTGGCGCAGGATCTATCAGCAAACACGTTCCTGTGTGCATTTCGCAGATTCAAGGCCAAGAGAGTTCATGTGAAGACACTTCGATCAGACAGAGGTACGAATTTCGTTGGTGGCAGCAAGGAGTTGAAGGAGGAGCTACGAAGACTGTCAGCTAGTGAAGACGCTATTCATCGAGCAATGTTGAAGCATGGCGTCGAGTTCACCTTCAACACGCCGAACGCGAGTCATCATGGAGGCGCGTGGGAGCGCCAGATCCGTTCGATCAGAAAGATACTGGACAGGCTTCTCAACACGCAGCAGCTGCAGGAGGAAACTCTCTCTACTCTTCTTGTCGAGATCGAGTCAATCCTGAACAACAGACCGCTCACTCCTACGTCATCCGATCCATCAGACCCTGAGAACCTCACCCCAAACCATCTTTTGAATCTGGGCGCTGACTGTGTGGCGATGCCTTTTGGACTTGTCGATGACAGTGATAGTACTAGTCGTAAGCGGTGGAAACAAGTAAGGTACTTGTCTGATGTGTTCTGGAGACGATGGAGGGCCGAGTATTTGTCGATGTTACAGGAGAGGCCGAGAATGCTTACCAGAAGTAGAGCGAACTTGGCGAGAGGTGACATTGTGTTGATCGTTGATGAGAATGTACCGCGTGGCCAGTGGCCAATCAGTATAGTTGACGACGTTAAGGTCGGAGCTGATGGACTGGTCCGTTCTGTAGATATAAGGACTCGTGGACTACGGCTGCGGCGTCCGATCACAAAGCTGGTGAAACTGTGCAGTGTGTCGCAGCGAGAATGTAATTGAAACGCTCGTCGCCTCACGATGTTTCAATGGGGAGGGTGTGACGGCGCTGCGATTTAGTTGGCCATTGGCTGTTGTTTAGTGTTAGCAGCTGGGGCATTCCACGATAGATCGTACCAGGCCCGTCACCCTCATCTCTCAGATTTTAATGAAAATCCGTTCTAGGGGTAATCATAGGCCCCAAAGACGCCTGGCAAAATATCAGACTTCTCAGATCAATACTTTTTTAGTTGTATTGCATTACATTTTAACTCCGGTTTGTAACGGTGAGTTTGATGGCCTATAACTCAAGAACGGGTTAAGCTACCAACAAACAGTAAACGACACTAAGCTTGCGATGAATCAAAAAATAATATTACCATTTAAAAATTCCAAAGAAAAATTTTCATTGTTGAGCAAAAAACTTAATCTTTTTTCATTTGCCTCTAATGACCTTTGGGACCAAAATCTTTCAATTTTTTTTTCAAAATAAACATGTCATTGCAAATCGACATGCAAAAAATTAGAAAGGTGTTCTTTCTATAAAATCCTCATTTTCCCGCAAACAAAATGCGTTTCGGAGGGGTTGATACGACCCAAGCACGCCGTTTCGCTTCTAATAGAGCTAGAGCCTCGCGAAAAAACGAGCGTGTGTGCCGCAACAAGTCGCAGCGATTGGTACCCGATTTTAAGGCCTCAATTTAACCGGTAGCGTCTGAGGTCAGGTCAAGTGACTGAAGTTACGGATTCGGTTTTTAGTAAATAACTTCGCAAAAAATTGCCGCAGAGCCGCAATTTTGGCATCATTGTGTTCGCCTAGCTCAGGTGCATCGAATGGTATACTTTTTGCTAGGGTGAGGTCAACATAAGTAGTTTACCTCGTATCAAGGTCAGGTCAGATCCCCTCAGGTCACGAAGCTGGGCAAAGGGTATCATATGGCATATCATTCGATTCGGAAGGTCTTCCCGAGTCCTTTGGTGGCTTTCCCGACTCTCTAGATCCATTTGATCGAAAGTTATTGACGAAAAACTCGTACGACCCTAGTGACGTCATAAATGACGTCACGCAAGGTTACCAATGCAAAAGAAAAGCGTTGGACTTTGCAAGAAGTGCATGAAATCACGATACCATGGACGTGGGATAGTTTTAGATCATTCTCGGCGCCAAAATAGCAGTTTTTATATTTCCCCACTGACTTATAACAGTGATGTCACGTGACCGACCTGACCTGACGTAAACTTAAAAATTCCCAGATATACAAGTTGTGAGACCTCTGGAGGACACCATGTATGCGTCCTGTACTTTCATCTCGGACAGATATGGTCGTTGGCGTCCAAAATAATGTCAGAACCAAACAGCCTTTTTCACCCCCGCGCTTATAGGAAAGAGGGTTGGATGAACCCTCTTTTCACTTTTTTCAGATGACTCAGACTTCAATTGAAATTTCAGTAACCCGTGATGTCACTAGGCAGCTTTACCACGCCATTTGTAAGCTACCCTCCCGAAATCACTATTCGAAACCGTTATCGTGACGTAAAATAAATATATTTATAGAAAGAACACCTTCCTAATTTTTTGCATATTTGTTAACAATGAGCCAAATATTTTTTTTAAAGAAATAAAAATTCAAAAAAAAAATGGTCCCAAAGTCCAAAACATAAAAATGAAAGAAAACTCGATATGTCATATATAAAAAAGCGATTTTTCGAAATTTCAAAAAAAAAACATATTAATCTCTGTTTCATTGCAAGTTCAATGTTATATAACATTTGGCATTTGAATAATCCGTCTTAGAGTTACAGCCCGCCAAACTTAGCGCTGCAAAGCAAGATCAAAAAAATGTTATACACCATAACTCAAAAAATACTTATCTGATAAGCCTGAAATTGTTACAGGTGGATTCAGAGCCCCTGATTACCCCTGAGACCAATTCTCGTCAAATTCCGAGAGATGAGGGTGTCAAATTGGAAAAAAGTGGTACGATCTATCGTGGAATGCCCCAGCTGTTTAGTGTTAGGCAGCTGTATTGCGTTAGTGCGTTGTCTGCGATTTAGTGGGTGCTCACTGCTCGTGATGATCAGCTGATCGATCAGCTGTTTCGAACTACACTTGTTTTCCGAAGAATGTCCGTGCGGCATGGCATAATATCTTGTAACCATGCCACACTGTTATGTTCAAGCCAATCTGAAAGTGCAATGAATACAGCAAGAGAAGAGAGAGGCGTGCGTATTTTGATTTACTGCGGACATGCGGAAACATTATTTTATGCAATAAGGCTCTTGTCTTCGTGAAAAATAGTTTGCGATTTCGATGTTTTTCTACACACTTTCTTGCTAAAAATTGTTAATTGTTAACTCAAAATTCATGCTGGGAGGTTTCGTGGAATAGAAATAGCAAATATCGGTAATCATTTCATTCAAATTTCAACAAGTTTTTTTCTGTAATTAGAAGCTTAATTTGTTAGTGAAATAGGCCTCAGACGTTTCGCTCGCCAGCTGCGCTCGCTCGCTCGGTAAAAAAAAGTAACGTGCTAGCCGCGGTGAAAAACCGTATGTTACTAATGTTGACGGACGTGTCGCCAGGCGACACCATCGTTCATTTCTTAGTGTTCTGGGTACGTACCGTCTTCTGGGCGATGAACGGATCCAGGTTGGAGACGGGCGAGCGGAACTGAGAGCGGGGCATTTGCAGAAGCCGCGTGCCGTCCAGCGCCGTGCGGCTCAGGTCGACCGGCCGCGGCGGCTCGCCCGACGGCGCCGCCCGCTTGGCCGCCGACATGGGCAGCAGCGGCGGCGCTTGCCGGCCGTTCGAAGCAGCGCTGGCGGACCGAGGTGGCGCACCTGACGACAGGATGCCCTGCAGGTGGGGACGTCGTCAGAACACCGGAAGCGGGACTGCGGCGCCGAGATGGTGCCATGAAACTCAGACACATGGCTCAGTTGGGTCAGAAGAATACGATAACGTTTTAAGCAGGTGTCTGTTAACCCACGCCATAGGGCTATCGGCTGACCCCACCACCAGACATGTTCATGGATCCGGGAAAATGGATCCTAGATCTGATCCCATGGATCTAAATCTGGGACCCACTCGAATCATAGATCAACCCCTCAATTTTGTCGAGAGATCCATTCAGATCATAGATCTGACCCATCCATTTTGTCGAGAGATCCACTCAGATTGTCGGGGAATCCACAGTCAGCAAGGCCCGGGCACGTAAACAGATTTGGAGGAATCAGTTCAGCAGGTCTATTCATCAGCCAAGACCACTTCAAACACATTCAGCACACTCAAACAGGACCAAAAGCACAATCATCGGCCCACCATCGTCCTTCCCCATCTCCGGTCATGACCAGTCTGTTCTTCCAGAACAAGTAAACAAACCCAGCCTTCCACGTAATGCACCGCTATTGCCCTTCTGCGCCGCCATCGTACTGGAACAGCGCCACTAAGTTATCAACTCCGTAGCAATCTACTATTATAAATCTTAAAAAGTCCTCCCACGCCACCCACGCCGCCGCCGTCGGGGTTACCACTCGTGGGTCACGTAATTCAACAGGTCGTATTGAATTTTGGGCACGATGCGGCCGGGGGTGCGCCCGTGGCGCGTGCTCATGTGCGCCATAGGGTTAGCATTAGAATCGGCAAAAACAGGCTATTGCTCGGGAACGGTAAGGGCTACGGGGGTGAAATTTTCGCTGTAAGTCGAGCGCGTGCACTCATTTGTCGTATTTAATTCTTGAGGGGGTGGGTTTAGCGGTGTGCACGTGATGGGGCCGCGACCGGCGCCGAGCAGAGGGCACGTGCTTTAGGCTCAGTTGTTCGCTTAAAAACTGACTGGAAATAATCAGAGCCGGAAGGTCATTGACCTTTGACAACGAATACCGGCGCCGGGCACCCTTCGCCAAGGGGATTCGCCAGTAAATACGATAAATTTGTTTTTGCAATATCTCAGCCGTTTCTGGGCCGATTTAGCTGAAACTTGGACTGTCGGTGGTAGTGTAGGGTAGGGTAGGGTAGGGTAGGGTGGGGTAGGGGTAGGGTAGGATAGGGTAGGGTAGGGTACGGTAGGGTAGGGTAGGGTAGGGTAGGTGTTAGCACCGGCGGCTGCAGGCCGGGCCGCCCGGACCACCGAGCGGGCCATGTGGCGGCCGGCCGATCACGTGGCGCTCGGGGCTATGCCGGCACTGAGCTGGCTCATTGTAAGCGGCCCCGTGATTGGTAGTGTGGGCTCCTGCCCTCGGGGCACCGGCGAGGTGACCTCGGGTCGGCGCACGGGGCTCGAGGGGAGTTCGCTCTGGATGCTCGGCGGGGAAGTGCTCGCTGTGTGGGTGGAAGTGGTGCTCTGGCTGTGGTGTGGTGGTGGTGCACAATACAGCAAGTGAAAATATCTTAACTGGTGTGGAGAGGAGCTGGACCCAGCCCCCGTTCACGAGCTTCAGAATTCCTTTACCGTGACGTCATCACGGCGCATGAATTTTCCTTCACCCATAGAAATGCATGCAAAGCATGGTGTGTTTCAGGCGGGCTAAGGAGAAATCTAAGGCCTACATGTGTTCAAAAGACGTACCACTAAGCCAATGGATTCGTCTCATTACGATAAATGGGGTTGAAATCGAAACATTCGGCCTATATTTATCTAAAATGGGCCAATCAAATGGTCCCTGCAACTCATAATGAAGGATTTCCTCTGCGTTGAAAAATTTGTTTCAAGTGTTTTTTATCAGCGACAGGGGAAATCCTTCATAATTGCTACCAGATTACTACCATATTCCCTCGCATTTCTGTTGCGCATTGCCTCACAAATCAGAGTTTTGTGAAGTTTTTATTAATTTAATTGTCATATTTTGACTGATTTTGGCGATTTTCAATTATTTCAACGCAGCATGGATCAGGTAGCTCTCATAGTTTGCTGAAGAATGTGGCTTTTGCTTGGTTATTTCTAAGTTATCTGTGATTTGGTGCGCCGTGATCGTAGCATTATACAAATTATATAAACTTTAAAAATTGAATCAACTTTTGAAGTGAAGTTCACATAAAAAACCAAAAGTTCAAGCATAATAATTGTTTAAACATAATGATGCAACATGTGTCTCCCAGATGGAACTTATATTTCAATTGAAAACTGAAAATGGAAAACAGAAGATGGATCTGCGGAGTTACTGAGATCACAAGGTGCTCTTGATTGTTGGTAATTGAAGATGTTGAGAGAACTTGTGAATCTGCATACCAGTCCTGACTTGCTTGATTGTTTAAAACTATTTTAATTCTCATAATTGTGTAATGTGTAGTGACTGTGCATACTGCGCAGCACATGTGCGCAGAAATGTGCAGGTGGCTGGTAGGTGGGTTAAACTTCGGAGATGCGAATTTGGATGTCAGTTATAAAATTAATGGTTATGCCTTGTAGAGTAAGCTCTGCTGTTTTTTGTAATTGTCTTTTATAATTGTAACCTACAATGCTGTTAGTTTCATTTTTATTAAAATGCTCGACCAGAATTTGCACTTGTTCATGCATGAATGGCTAAGTTTGGGGTGTTTATTTAACCCTGACTGCTCAAGTTTTTCAAAGGCACATGACACAGTGACAGCACGGCTAGATCAGCTGGTACCTACCTGTTGACTATTTTTGTTTTTGGTGGTGATGTGATTGCTGTTTGTCTTTTGCAAGGTGGTCAATGAAATAAAATAATGCATTATTTTGGAATGTTTCCTTGACAGAAGCCAGGAGCCGGATTAATGTGTGCTGGTGAATGAGATGGTTCAAAAGCATTATCTGATGTTTTTCAATGTGCATAAGCCATAACATCCCTTTCATACCCTGAAGTTTTAATAGCTTCTCAGTCTCTGTCATTTTCCTGAAATATTGGTGTAGATAAGAGATATCAGTACCTTCTCAGAGGTACCTGCCTTCTGCTGGATGAATATTTAATTGGTTGGACGAAATGGACAGGTAGACTTATGACAATGTAATGTGAAATCTTATTTCTATAAAACTTTGAAAATGAAGTTCTAATTATTCATATGTGCATACATTTTTGATGACTAAGAAAGTTTTCCACAAGAGTAGAAAATGTGGGAAAGTCTATCAAATGACACATTCTGAAGGCTCAATGCTGACAGAGTGCTGCCTCAAAGAATAACTGACTTGCTGGGTTACGAATATTTCTTTATTTTAATTTTCAAATGTAATGTACAATACATTGCAGTGAAATAACAAAATAGTGCAGTAAAATAGTATTGGCGACGATCAAACAACACGTGCGCCATTGATGTCTGCAAAAATTGCTACCAGATTGCTACCAAATCCGTGACGTAGCTACGGCGCCTTTATTTCCCTAGTGAACCAACCTGAGTAGTAAAGTAATCTTGGCTGGACCAGTGGAAAAGGGGACGGGACAGTGAACAGCAGCGAGTCTTCATAGCGTGCGAGTAGCCGATCATTTCCTTTCATCCGGGACTCATAACACGGCCTCTTCCGGGGTGTGTGAGGGAGGCGGCCACAGTGTCTCGCCATCGAGTCACTGAGCTTAAACTCGTTCCCCGGGTCTTGCCATCGAGGCTCGGGTGCGGGGTCTCCGCTCAGACAGGGGTGCGACCAGTCGGCTCCGGCTATCCTTGCCATCGAGGCGCCGGAGTATCGGTTGATCTGTCCGATTACAGTGGTCTCCCCATCGAGAGGCTGGAATCGGGCAGCGGCTGGCGTCTTCCTCACCATCCTGATCTACCCATCGCTCTCCTACAGTCCTTGTCAATCATCCGGCTAAATCTGTGTCGTTGGCGTGTGAAATACCAGAGGACACGTGGCGACAGTAGGGTAGGGTTGGAGTAGGGTAGTGTAGGGTTAGGGGTAGGGTAGGGTAGGGGTAGGGTAGGGTAGGGTAGGGTAGGGTAGGGTAGGGTAGGGTAGGGTAGGGTAGGGTAGGAGTAGGGTAGGGTAGCGTAGGGGTAGGGGTAGGGTAGGATAGGGTAGGGTAGGGTAGGGGTAGGGGTAGGGTAGGGTAGGTGTAGGGTAGGGTAGGGTAGGGGTAGGGTAGTTAAGGGTAGGGAAGGGTAGGGTAGGGTAGTGTAGGGTGGTGTAAGGGTAGGGTAGGGTAGGGTAGGGTAGGGTAGGGTAGTGTAGGGGTAGGGTAGGGTAGGGTAGGGTAGGGTAGGGTAGGGTAGGGTAGTGTAGGGCAGTGTGTCCAAAATTGTTATGTTGCGGGGAAATCCACCCATAATGAGAAGTATAATGACATCCTAAAAATATAAATAAAACATCCTCATGGCAGTCACAACTTATAATAACAACCTCGAACCTAAACATCTGGGAGCAAGAGAAACACAAACCTCGCAAGCTCTCACAACGCGCCAAGACAGCCATTTGAATAACCAAAATGTTCAATTATATGACCCGACTTAAAAACCTCATTTAACATCCCGAATATCAATATTCAATATTTCTACATCATTTTCTCGTGACATATATATAAACGGTGATTAAAATGGGTCGAAGTCAAGTTTTATGAAAATAACGACATCCTTTCCGGCCTTTTTTTCTACATCCTCCCCCTAACATAAAATGAATTTAGCCACACTGGTGTAGGGAAGGGTAGGGTAGTGTAAGGGTAGGGTAGGGTAGGGTAGGGTAGGGTAGGGTGTTGTAAGGGTAGGGTAGGGTAGGGGTAGGGTAGGTAGGGTAGGGTAGGGTTGAATTAAGTAACATCCTAATCTTACAAAGGGCTCGAACAACTCGCATGCATCACCATCATACTTTACAGTTCAAGTAAAAGCAGTTACCCAGTTCTACACAAATAATACCAATAAAAATGAAGTTTCTACACCCAAACTAATGCATCCGTTAATCATACATATCAAAA